TATCTAATTTAAATCTTTTTTTCAATTGTTGATATGCAAACCAATGAAAAACATAGCCCTCTGATTCTAACTCTTCCCTCGACTTGAGGGTAGGGTCACCAGAGTTGAAAAGTATCATTTCACCATAAGTCCACCAGTCTGGCTCCTCTACCATTTCTTTTCTTTAAAAAAGCTTCCTGTGGGGACACCCAAAGAGGCAACTTTGTAGAAAATCTTCTTTTGTAATTGTTCCAAACTCTTAGTATGGCACGTCTAACAAAATGATTGTTAAAATCCACATTGACTTTAGTCATCCAAATTCATGACCTTCCAAATCAAGTAGTCTCTTGTTCTGAATGTTTACCCACTTTTTTAGTCAAGCCAGACAGCATGCATCAAAGTACAATTTCATATCTGGTAGGCCCAAACACCCTCATTTCTAAATAAGCATATTTGAATGCATATCAGGGAAATCCCAGAGACTTCTTGTATGCAACTCCATCATGTATTCACTCTATAAATATTCTATCTTTGAATTTGTAAATAGAGTACAGGTAGTCCTTGACTTACGACCACAATTGAGCCCAAAATTTCTGTTGTTAAGTGAGACAGTGGGTAAGTGAATTTTGCCCCATTTTATGACCTTTCTTGACATTGTTAAGTGAATCACTGCAGTTGTTAAGTTAGTAACACGGTTGTTAAGTGAATCTGGTTTCCCCATTGACTTCGCTTGTCAGACGGTCACAAAAGGTGATCACATGACCCGGAACACTGCAACCGTCATAAATATGAGTCAGTTGCCAAGTATCTGTATTTTAATCACATGACCATGGGGATGCTGCAATGGTTGTAAGTGTGGAAAATGGTCATAAGTCACTTTTTTCAGGGCCGTTGTAACTTTGAACTGTCACTAAACAAACTGTTGTAAGTCGAGGTCTACCTGTAAATATTTTAATATTAGCTCATTGGGAATGTAATTGTGATATGCCTTTTAATATTTCTGCCAAATGCTAAATACACTTTTAAACAGATTCTAGGTGTACATTTAAAACAAATCAGTGATAATAGACACAATGTACACATAATGCAGCACCATTAAAATGCATGCAAGATGAGGGAGTGGCAATTTCTATCATTTAAAGAAAGGGCAGCTTTTGAAACCAACTTAATGATGCATCATTGGGTAATACCTCCAACTAAATTTATTCACTCTTTCAGTGCCTTTTTCTAAAAAAAAAATACTGAATAATTTCATAAATCAAACACAGCGAATTTTTCCAAACGTTTCTTACAAGGTAGAGGGTTTGTAGAAGCTATTGCTTTATGAAAAACTATATGGTGTCAAAATCTATTTTATGGTAGGTAAAAGGTGGCTGGAGAGAGAGGTGTGTTTCCGTTGCAAAATATGGAACGCTTCACGAATTTGCGTGTCATCCTTGCGCAGGGGCCATGCTAATCTTCTCTGTATCGTTCCAATTTTAGTATATGTGCTGCCGAAGCGAGCACAAACTTTAACTTCCCTGGAAGGATATTTAAAGGTTATTTTCTCAGATTTTCTCAAGTTACGGTGATTAATGTCCGGGTTTTTTTTCCCTTCCGTATTTCATACTCGAAATATTTCTTTCAATTGCAGTGTATTGCTTTCAATACAATCAATCTACACCTTTTAAAATTAATCTTAAAAATCACAGACTTTATTGAGTTCCCCTAGTGCATGATGGGAGGCGCTTATGCAAATAAAGTCACGCTTTCTTTTATCTGCCCTCCCCAAAGATACTCTTCCCCTTTTATTTCTTTTCGTCAGTTAATACTATTTTGCTCATGCATTGCCGATTTTCCCCCAAAAACGCTTTAGGAAAAAAATATATATCAAAAGAAAAAGCTGCTAAATATAACCCTATCTGCACGCACATATAGCCCTCTAAACATCCAATTGTTACTGTTCTTTACACGAGAAAGAGACTAGCGAGGCAGGGCTTGCTCCGCGTGCAGATTTACAGAATAACAGAGTTGGAAGGGACCTTGTAAGTCATCTAGTCCAACCCTCTGCTCAAGCAGGAGACCCTATATCATTTCTGACAAATGGCTGTGCAGTGTCTTCTTGAAAGCTTCCAGTGATGAAGCACCCACAACTTCTGAGGGCAAGCTGTTCCATTTGTTGATTATTCTCACTGTCAGAAATGGGAGGGTAGACAAGGAAGGAGTTGGATAAATAGAGAACATGTAGGATCTTCTCTGCTGATACAGATTCATGTACCAAGTTGATATAATAATAATAATAATAATAACAACAACAACAATAGTAAAGTTGGAAGGGACCTTGGAGGTCATCTAGTCCAACCCCCTGCTCAGGCAGGAAACCCTATACTATTTCGGACAAGTGGCTGTCCAGTCTCTTTCTTAAAAACTTCCAGTGTTGGAGCATTCACCGCTTCTGGAGGCAGGTTGTTCCACTGGTTAATTGTTCTAACTGTCAGGAAGTTTCTCCTTAGTTCTAGGTTGCTTCTCTCTTTGATCAGTTTCCATCCTTTATTCCTTAGTCTGGCCTTCAGGTGCTTTGGAAAATAGGTTGACCCCCCTCCTCTCTGTGACAGCCCCTCAAATAGTGGAACACTGCTGTGATGTCACCCCTGGTCCTTCTCTTCAATAAACTAGCCATGCCAGGGTTTTGCAACCGTTTCCCCTATGTTTTAGCCTCCAGCCCCCCTAATCAATCTATACTGTCACCCTTCCAGAAGCAAACCGATGAAACTGCCATCCGATTAAACGTCCCCTCCAAATAAATGACAATAGCGGTAATTGCACAGGTGCATTTACATCAGGATTTCTCAGTCTCGGCAACTTTTAAGATGCACGAATTTCAACTCATAAGACGTGCGCAGGGATAACTTCTGCATTGCTTGCCTACACGCGAGGTAACTGTTCCCACGTCGCCAGTTCCTCGCGCAGGCAGGCAGGCAGGCAGATAGGCAGGCCGGAGGGCAGCGCAACCTCACCCAGCCTGATAAGGACAACGAGAAGGGCACCAACCACACCAGGGACACAGCTCGCTTGCCAAGGGGCCAGGTTAAATCCAGCCCTGCCGCCACTCCCCGGGCTGACGTCACTTCCTGCGGGGGGGGGAGGCTCCTAGGCCGGGTCGGTCCCGTCCTTCGGGCGTTCGGGCAGCGGAGAAAGAGGGAAGGCGGTTTGGGGGGGGGGGAGCAGCAGACCGGGCAGCGATGGTGGGGCTGAAAAGGGGAGCGGCTGGGGGCCTGAAGGGGAGCCAGGAGGAGCAGCTGTCTAGAGCCCCCCTGGACCAGCCCTACGGGTGAGTAGCAGGAAGGCTGGAGGGTTGTGGGCGCTTCGCCATTGTCTTTGTGTGTTCCTTTCTTGCATTTGATTCGGGTCGCGGGAAGGATCTCCTTGCCTCTGATAGACTGCCTTATCATCTGGAGGCTCTTCTGGTTAATAACACAGACAGCTCTGAAGTCGAGTTGGGTAGGATCTGAGTGTAAAAATCCAGCTCATCCAGGATCTTGAAGGTTGGAAAGGCGACAGCTGTCACCCACCGCCTTGTTTTGTGTTTCCTCCTAAGGTGGAGGAGAATGAACAAAGCTCCCCCTTATTCAAGCCTGTTTTATTTAAAAGCAGTTGAGCCCTAATGACTCTCACAAATTCCTTGGTCGGTGAGTTCCACAGATATATTATACATATTGCTGGTCTTTTTTGTCACCCTGCACTTGGGACATCTACCATCTTTGATTGTATTAGTGCTTTATGCTTTTTTTTTAATATGTCAATTGTCTGAAAAGGTTTGTTGTAAAAGACAATCTAATTTTTTTACATAATAACATACAGTATCTAAATGCAAAAAAACCCCCACATTACATTATTTCCTATCCATAATCTAATGGCTTTCTAACATTTCACTTTTTAAGCTTTTTTCCAACCTTTCTTTATTCAAAGATTGAGGAAATGGTCAGCCATCAGATGAAACTGGATGCAAACTTCCTGAGAATGATGGGTGTTGTAGACCAATACAATATATTAACTTTGGGCATAGTTCTTATTATTTTCTTGCTTTATCCATTTTAAAGGAATACTCACCATAATTATTAATTGGAAATATGATTGATTTACTTATGTATATGATTTATATAGCCACTCATCTCAGTAGCAACTCTGGGCAGCTTCCAACATTTAAAAACAATGCAATAACACAATATAAAACATAAACAGCCAGAAGTCAAACCAACCAAATAACTACATCATTTGATTTTAATAAACATTCTGGCTCTCATTCACACAAACACATCCACATCTTTAGAGCCCCTCTCTCCCCCTCCCCCAAAAAACCTGGTTGGTGGGAGCCAATCTAATTTAAAGGAAGGACCGGATTGCAAAATATAAAGCGTTGTTGCATATACCATAGAAAGCAATGAACCAATGTAACTTGATGTAAGTTACAAAAACAAAAACCCACAATTTTCCTCAGTGCTTCCTCTCCAGAGTGGTCAAATTGCCACATTAACAAAATGTTTTCTTGTAGTTTGACTATTGAAGAAGAAGATGGCTTCCACTGACCCAGATGGTAGCTATTTCCGTTCTAAAAAAAAGTTAATACCAATACTAATATTCCTCTTGTTAAGCGAACAGGCAAAATGACAAAACTATACAGCAGGGGTCTTCAAACTTGGCCCTTTTATGACTTGTGGACTTCAACTCCCAGAATTCCTCTGAGGAATTCTGGGAATTGAAGTCCACAAGTCATAAAAGGGCCAAGTTTGAAGACCCCTGCTATACAGGTAGTTCTTAACTTATAACCATAGTTGAGCCCAAAATTTCTGTTGCTAAGCAAGACAGTTAAGTGAATTTTGTCTCATTTTACAACCTTTCTTGCCACAGTTGTTAAGTGAATCACTGCAGTTGTTAACACAGTTGTTAACTGGATCTGGCTTCCCCATTGATTTTGCTTGCCTGAAGGTCACTGAAGGTGATCACATGACCCTGGGAACTGCAACCATCATAAATACAAGCCAAATGTCTAAATGTTGTTCACGTGACCGTAGGGATGCTGCAGCAGTCATAAGTGTAAAAAGGTCATAAGCCACTTTTTTCAGCAGTCACAACATAAGCCTAACTGAAAATCAGGCTTGTCAGATGCTATATTTTTCCTATCCTGCTCTATGGAGTAGAGAGTTGGTCTCTGACAGAAGGCCACCTGAAGAGACTAGAAGCATTTGAAATGTGGATTTACAGGCGGCTGTTACCTATAAGCTGGGTTGACAAGATCAGAAATGAGGAGGTGATAAGCCACCTGGGAAAGCCAAGGGAAATCATCAAAACAATTAAAAAACAAAAATTAGAATATTTCAGACATGTGATGCGACACCCAGAAAAATACGGCATACTCCATTTAATCCTCCAGGGAAAGATTGAAGGCAAACGAGGTCCAGGCAGAAGAAGAACATCATGGCTTCAAAATCTAAGGGATTGGTTTGAAGAAAACTCAGCAGCACTTTTTCATGCGGCTGCTGATAAAAACAGGATCGCCAACATGATCGCCAACGTCCGATAACGGATATGGCACAAGAAGAAGAACGTATTTTTTTGGACTGCCAAATGGAAATACTTCGCATTGCCTTTATGTGGGACTTCCAAGCTCTTCTACAGCTCTAAGGCTCCCTGCAGGTCCCCCAACCAAGTATAGGTAGTCCTCAAACTTACAACCATTTGTTTAGTGACCATTTGAAGTTACAACAAAGTCAATGGGGAAGCCAGGTTCACTTAACTGTGTTACTAATTTAACAACTGCAGTGATTCACCTTAACAGCTGTGGCAAGAAACGGCATAAAATGGGGCAAAACTCACTTAACAAATCTTGCTCAGCAACGGAAATTTTGAGGTCAATTGTGATTGAGGGGTGAGGACTACCTATATAAATAGGCTTCATACAATAGCCTGGCCATCTTTTGTCATCTGCGGAAGGGTTGAATTTCCAGTACTTAGGAAAGACTAGCTTATAGTTCATTATTATCCTTTGCAAGAAGCAGTTGCAAAATAAAAATATAGGCATGGAAAATGTGTGTAGATATAAGCATTGTTCCTAACAGCTCAATAGATCCTCCATGTTTAAGAGCAGCCTATTTCTAAACACTATATGGTAGGAGAACAGGAGGAGAGCCTTATAGCCTCTCTTGCTCTTCCTGACCATGGATGAAGATTGCTTAAGTCTGGCTGGGTTTTTTTTTTCTTTTCCTGCAGTTAGCTGTGCTGTCCCTTGAAGCATTTGCAAAAAAGAGAAGAAAGAGTCTATAAAGACTTAAATCTTTGATTTAGAGGGGGTGGAATTTTGTCTTTTGCAGAAGGATTGAAGATTGCTTGCCCCCTCTGGCCACCCCTTCCGCCAAGAGATTCTCTCCAGCCAAACGGAAACAGTACTACATTGACCAAGCCATCCGCAACTCGGACCTCATCCCCAAGGCTAAAGGGAAGAAGAGCCTCCAGCGCCTGGAGAACAGTAAGTGGTTGGTAGGCAGGGCTTAGAAACCCTTTGGTAGCTAGCTATTATCTCTTGATTACCTATTGAACTGATCAAAATCCAGAGCAGCCTTTTCCGACTCAATGCGTTTCAAAGGTTTGGACTATTAACCACAATCACGCTGGCTGAGAATTCTGATAGTTTTGACCCCAGCACTTTTAGAACTGTCCAGTGGTAAAAGTAGCTCAGTCTTTTCCAAACTTTTTCCTTCATTGCTTATCAAAAAATCTTATTGAACTTTGAGGACAGGTGGTAAGTCCCTCCCTTGAGTAGTGTCATAATGTCTTAATCGTTGCTGAATGAGTGGTCGTAACTCGAGGACTATTTATGTTATGAAAACAGTATCACTGAATGATCTTTATGTCATTTCAACAAATTACCATTTCATCAGTTTTCATCTTAGGAGGAGTACTCCGGCAGACTTCCAAATATATTTTAGTACACAAGGCAATCGTTAAGTCAATTTAAGTGTCCCTAATGAGTTTGCCTGTCATTGCTCAAAGATAAATCCACTTTTATCCTATTTTGGATAATTGATCACTAATGAATCGTTCTTCATTCAGGCCAACCAAGAGTTATTATCTTCCAGACTAGTTGGGACTAGCTGCTCTCTTATTTTTAAATTAAATGTAAATATCCAGAATGGTATGAGGATTGAAGGTTGAGGATGAGGTATTGACGACCTTTAAAGTGCCTTCCATCTCTATGATTCTATGCTTGAATAGTCCAACCGGGTAGCTGTTAGGGCCAATCTGAGTTGCTGCTGCCTGAGGCATTGAGGAATTGATCATTGGGAACCAGGCTAAGGTGATAATGAAGATGCTGAACTAGGCACCAAGAGAGCTGGGTTCTAGTCCCACTTAAGCCACAGAAGCTGATTGGCTGACTTTGGCTAGTCCCTCTTAACCCAACCTATCTCACAGGATGGTTGTTGGGAAGAATAGGAGAAGTGAATACTAGGTGAGCAGCCTTGAGTTTCTGTACAAAAAGAGAGATATAAAGCTAATCAATACAGGTAGTCCTTGATGTACAACCATTCATTTAGCAGCTGTTCAAAGTATCAATGGCACTATAAAAAAATTAATTACAACTGGTCTTTGCACTTGCAACCGTCACAGCTTCCCCAAGGTCACGTGATCAAAATTTGGACGTTTGGGAACTGGCAAGTATTTACAATGGTTGTAACATCCCAGCGTCATGTAATTGCCATTTGAGACCTTCACAGCTTCCAGTCAGTGGGGGAACCCAGATTTTTCTTAATGATCACTTAACAACCGCAGTGATTTACTTAACAACCATAGCAAAAGAGGTCATGAAATCAGGTGTGATTCACTTAACAATTGCCTTGCTTAGCAATGGAAATTCTTGTCCCAACTGTGGTTGTAAGTCAAGAATTATGTGTAATTAAGCAGTGTTGGTAGCATGATGTTGAGTGTGCCGTGCTGCCCACCGATGTCCCTAAAAGAGTCACTATTAAGGTACATGCGTGAAGCTTCATATTTCATTATTTATTAATTCTGTGCATTTCTAGCGCGTTACCTAATGACCCTCCTTGAGCGGGATGACTGCACCAGTGAAGATGGAGATCTTGCCCATTCTGCCCCTCCCAGCATTTTTACTGAGGCCTGCAGCAATGAGACTTATATGAAGGTAGGGCTCTATTTTTTTTTTCTTTAGCTGATTCCTCTTCCTTGGAAACAGAATCTCTCTCCAGTTTTGCATTTTCTTTTCTTAACTGACATCACTGGATGGTGATGTGGTAGAGGTTGAAATATAGCCTTCAGGTGAGGATTTAAGTCAGAAAATGTAAGGAACCTGCCCCCAGAGTGATGGTACGAAAATAAAATAAGCTGAAAATGTGACAATATTATGCATGTCGAATCATGTCTTTATTACAAAGGATTATAGTTTATGGGTGAGGCTCTGTCCACTGTAACTGTGCTGCTAGAGTTCAGCAATTGGGGATAAAGGGAGAATTGGAGTGGATTGGACCAAGCTTTGGTCCCCAAACTAATGTTTTTTCCCTAATGAGGAAAAAGCTGTATACAATACAGAAAAAGCTGTATTGGCTGTGGAGCTGTGGCATTTCCTATTTCACTAAAAGCAAGATAGAACATAGAATCATAGGGCTGGAAGGGACCCTTTTGGTCTTCTAGTCCAACCCAAGACCTTATATCATCCCTGTCAAATGGATGCTCAGTCTATATTTGAAAACCTAGTGAACATTCACAACTTCGGGAGGCAATTATTCCATTGATTAATTGTTCTAACTGTCAAAAAAATTATCCTTCTAGATTCGATGTCTTTTTAACAAGCTTCCATCCGTTACTTCTTGTCCTGCCTTCTGGTGCTTTGGAGAATAAATCAATCCCCTCTTTTCTGTGACAGCCTCTCAGATATAACCAAGCAGAGCTTTAGATTTTTCTGCTCTGGGTTCTACCCCCTTATGGCCATTATTCTGGCCATAATGTCTAGCAAAAGAAGAAATTGAAATCCATCTGGAAGGCACCTGGTTAGGGGAATATTGGGATAATTAGCTAGTTCAAAGAAGAACTGGGTGGCAGGCTCTAGGAATGATCCCTGGTAGTTTTTTTAAATTAACTTTTAAATTAAAGAAAGGGGAGTTACCCAGGAGGCCAGCTTCTGCCGGATGTCCTGAGGTGGTGCACCCACATTTGGTGATGTAATGTATGAGGAATGAGCAAGGTGGAAGGGAGTGTTGTGTGGTGAAAGGCAATGGAATAAATATTACAGGATAAAGTGTTGCTTAGTCACACTTCAGGCATTTTTACTGTGCAGTACTTGGGTGGTGTTAGGTTTTCTTCAAGTCCCATGGAAACAAAGGTCTTTATGCAAACCTGGGCAATAGACAACTGGCAACAGGGTTGTGAATTGCAAGATGATGTAAGAAATATGACACTCCCTGTTAAGACAATGAGGAAGAAAGCTGGAAAAAAAAAATGACTCAGTCACAGAGGCAGAGTGGTGTAACAGTTAGGATGTTCGTCTCCCAGCAGGGTGACCTGATTGCAGCTGCTGTATTCTCTACCAACCAAAAGCTATCCAGTTGAGTTTCTCACAGGGTTGTTGTGAAATAAAACTGAAAGAATCATAGGGTTGGAATGGAAGTGAAGGTCTTCTAGTCTGCTCCAGGAATCCTCAAACCATCCAGACAAAAGGCAATAAATCTTTGTTTGAAAACCTGCAGTAATGGAATCCCCATGACTCCATTGTTGTTCCTCTGCCTAATAGATCTCATAAAAAAGAGATTCCTCCTTAGTTTGAGTTTGGATCTCTCTTTTTAAAACCTCCACTTGTTAGTTCTTCTCCGACCCTTAGGAATTACAGGGAATGAATCCCCCATCCTCTTCTTTGGGACAGCCCTTCAAGTACAGGTATTCTACAACTTATGACCAGTCACAAAATTACGACGGATCTCCCTAGGGATATTTATGACTCTGTTCCAAAGTTACATCAGCTGCCTCCCCTCCCCCATCACAATCATTTCGGACACTCAGCAACCATCTCTCATTTTCAGCCATTTGCAGTGTCCTGCAGCCACGTGACCACATTTTAGGATGTTTTTGTCAAAACCTGGCATTTACTTCTGGCTTTTGGCAAAACCGGCCAAAAGCAAACAATTGGCTCACTTAATGACTGTGGCATTCACTTTACGACTGCCGTAAAAATATACAAATTCAGGTTGGACATGTGATGACCTGCTTTACAACCATCGCAACTTACAAGCAGGCTCCATTATGGTCATAAGTTGAGGACTATCTATATTGGAATACCACTGCCTCTCTTAGTTTTCTCTTTTGGTTATCATGCCTAGATCCTTTGATAGCTCTTCATGGGATTTAGCCTTCAAAAGCCTCACCATCTTTGTCACTCCTAGTTCCTCAACATCCTTCTTCCATTTTAGGGCAAGTAGAACTGGATCTGGTACTATGAGTATTTTCACTGCCTGGTGTACCTAGAGAAAATGCACAATGTACAGTAAATATATCTCTTTCCCAATCTTCATTATTATTAATAATGCTTCAGGGCTAGTTACCCTTCCTTTGAAAATACTTCATCAGCTGCATAGTGTATTTTTTCTAGCTTGCCCAAACTGAAAATAAACTCAACAAAGAGAAGAACAGTCTGGAATTGAGTGCCCTTTATCAAAAAGAAGCTACATGGTGGAAAAGACTAAAAAATTTCTCTCTCCCTTAAAATATCACTTTAACTCTGGATTTGTATATAGTGCTAAACAAGGATTTGTTCAAACTTTGTGTATTGCCCAAATCAGCTGAGTTTCTATAACACAACAAGACAGAAACCTTAATAAAGGAGAACCGAGCAAGCCACTTTAGGCTTAATGTGGTGCAGTATGCTAGTTTGCATGTATTTATGGTGATTAGTCAGCTAGGAGTGAGTAAACACATGTAACAAACAGTCTTTTAAAATCTTCCCTTTGAAAGAAAACATCCAACCCTTTCCATTTATCGTACTTCCATTAACTTAATTAGGTAAAAAGCCTCTCTTGATGGAACCTTAAATTAAGTGGGCTAATGCATGGAGCCCTTTGTGATCCAGAGATGACATTTGCCTTGATTACTGCAGATGGCAAAAGAAAGGAATTGAAAATGAGTTTACATTATGTATTTATACGTTTTGTAGATCTGGAACGATTTCATGAACCGGTCTGGGGAAGAACAAGAGCGAGTCCTCCTGTATTTAGAAGAGAAGACTTCAAAAAAATCAAAAAATAAGTTGCCTGATAAAGCTGACATCAAGTGGAAAGGTATGAAAAGACAGTACAAGGACATTACGGCCAAAAAGCATTGGATATAAATCAGGGAGTTTGAAGAGGAGGCTTTTTGTCTTGTTGGCTAAAAATGGAACACCCATATCCAAAGCCAGTCTACCTGTGAAAACCAATCAAACAACTGGAAATTGTAAGCTTCCAAAATGTATAGGTTTTGCCTTGGGGGAAACGAGATATTCTTCCAGAATTGTTTGGTGTATTTTCTGTTACATTTTTTTCTATCTCTTCTTCCCTCTTGTTACAGAGCATCCTCCGTTCACACCTAAAGATTGTTTTCAACGCATCAGCCGACGCTTACGAACCACCCTGAAACGAAGTCGGATTCCCATGGTACGTTACTAAGTTAACAATTGAGGTGATTCACTTAACAACTGTGGCAAGAAGTGTCGTAAAATGGAGTGAAGTTCACTTAACAACGGTCTCGCTTAGCAACAGACCTCTTGGGCTAAATTGTGATTGTAAGTGGAGGACTATGTGTAAATGCACAGCAATTTCTGCTTGCCCTTTCTTATTTTCTTATCTCTTCTCCAGTGAGTTTATCATTATATAAGAGTATCCAGCCTGTCTGGGAAGATCTTGTGATGGGATGGCAGACCATGCTGAACTGCAACATCCTATCACCTTTATTTTTGTTTTATTCTGATTGTTCAAATTGCTGTGTTTTTTTTTCCTGGATCTTTGCCACAGACTTGTGAGGTAGACTCATAACATACTGTCATATTACAGAGGGGGAAACTGAGTTGAAAGCAATCCCGTTTTACGGGGCCTCCTGTGAGTTGGAAGCATAAGTGAGATCTGAACTGGAGGCTTTCTGATCAATAGCTCTGTTTCTGAACCACTCTGTTGCATTAGTAAATATATGAGTCGAGTAAGCATGTTGCTGTTCCTTGTAGATGTAGCTCAGTATTTTTCAACCTTGGCAATTTTAAGATGTTTGGACTTCAACTCCCAGAATTCCCCAGCCAGCCAAGCTGGCTGGGGAATTCTGCAATTTGAAATCCAAATATCTTAAATTCACCACAGTTAAAAAAAACACTGAGTTCCCTGTTATAGATGGAAAGATGTAGCTTTTTGCTTATTTTACAGGAAACCTTGGAAGGCTTGGAGGAGGAGTTGCTGGCCTTTTTCTCCACTAACCCTCACGCCGTCTACACAGCTATGATGGACAATAGGTAACCAAAGTGAACCTATTGCTGGCTGCTATTCTCAGCAGTGGCTTCAGTGGCATTTAGTACACAAATCTTGACCAGACCATCAACGAATTGTGTATTTTGAATGTTGAGAGCCTGTTAGGACGTTCTCCTCAAATGGCCGCCATAGGAGTTTACAAAATGGCAGCTGGGGCGGGCTTAATCAGTCACCAAGGCCTCCTCTGATACCCTAGTATGCTTGTTATCTCCCCAACTTCTTTCTCTTTTCATTTCTCTTTTTCTTTTCATTTTCTGGGGAATTCTTTATCAGACTACTGTGTTCTTTTTAGTTACTGAACTTGCCTATGGAATTTAGAGACTTTTTAATATATAAATGAAGATGTTGCTAGAGGCCTGACTCCTCATTTTGTGAGTGGCAAGCTTCTCATTTCCCTTTTGAGTTAAAATAATATATGATAATGATAGTAGTAATTAAGTAAGGATGAATAGGAAGCCTGCTGAGTGCCAAGGGAACTATCCAGAATCACTATAATTTTCCCTCAAGCTAAACAGCACTCAGGAAAACACCTTAAAACAAAGTCACACTTTTCTTCTGGAGCTTTGAAAGTTGAGGTTTTCTGTTCTGTTCTGATCCAATTTTCAAACTATCCTGCCTTTGAATTTATCTGTGGCCAATTTGATAGCCTCCTTTTTTAAATTGCAAAGAATTCTGGAGGCTTTTTCTGCAAAACCAAGATGGGAATGAGATGAAAAGAGTCAAGATAGTGATTATAAGGCATATTAAAAAGGGGGTGGGGCTTCAGTTACAGTCTGGGTTGCCTTCTTGACTTTTTTGACCACTGTCGGCACAGACTTTCCTGGAAACCAGTTGCATTGAATGACTGTGCTGGTCTGAGTTTTCTAGCAACCCTAATTAGAGCTAAGAGAGTTTCCTAAAACAAACCCAACAGATACTTAAGACTGAAGAAGAAAACATCATCCGTTGTGAGATGGTTTTCATGTAGGAAATCTCTTTTGACTCTAAGCAATACAGGATAATTGAACCAAAACCTGTAGTATGCTGAACTCTCTGGCATCTTTGAAACTTGTTTCAAAATCCATCCAGCATGAAACAAGACCCCATAATCTGTGTTAAAATATGGTAATTTGGCCATGGCTATTTTTGCAGCTGGCAGTGGTAAGAATGGGAAATTGGGCTTGCCCCACTTACCTACAAACAGTCCGTGACTTACAACCATTCGTTTAACAACTACCTGAAGTTACAACAATGCTGACAAAAGTAACTTACAACCAGTCCTTGCATTTAAACCCATTGCAGCATCCTCACAGTCACGTAATCCAAATTTGGCAACCGGCAGGTATTAATGATGGTTGCAGCATCCCAGGATCATAGGATTGCTCTTTGCGACCTTCCGAGCCGGCTTCCGACAAGCAAACTCAATGGGGGAAACTGGATTCGCTTAACAACGCTGCATTCACTTAACTGCTCTGATTCACTTAACCAACATGGCAAAAGTCACAAAACTGGGCACAACACACTTAACAACCATGCGCATTAGCAGTGGAAATTCTGGTCCCAATTGTGGTTGTAAGTCAAGGACTACCCATAGTGCCTCTAAGGAGGGACATTTGAACTTGCTTTTCCACTACTGTTAGCTCCTGTCTTGGAGTGGCCAATGTTTTATAATCAAGGTTGTATTTTGTGGGTTTTTTTTTTAACTTCCTAAGTCTCTTGAGGGCTGGTGGGAGACTGACAGCAAGGGAAAAAGATTACCAGAATAACAGACTTAGAAGGGACCTTGGAGTATTGACTTAGCATGGTGACCATATTTGCAAATTCAAACGAGATATGGAAAAGATGCAAAGACAACAGGATTTTATAAAGAACAGACAGAACTTGATCAAATATTGTTAAAAATAGATGAAAACCTGATTAAGAAACTTTATAGATTTCTATTAAAATTGAAGATGGAAGAAGAACAAGTAAAAGAAACAATGATAACATGGGCAAAAAACTTTGGATATTCTATAGATGTAGAAGACTGGCAAAAACTATGGGATAGAAATATTAAATTGACTAAAGCAGTCTCATATAAAGAAAATTTGTATAAAATGTTTTATAGATGGCATATGACACCAGTAAGACTAGTGAAAATGTTTTAAATACTTCGAATAATTTTTGGAAATGGAAACAAAGGCCAGGCACTGGTGGATATGCCCTAAACCGAAAAAGTTCTGGCTTAAAATACGTACATGGCTGGAAAAGATGACTAAAAGACAGATAGAATTTAAACCAGAACTACTTTTGTTAGAAATATTAGGAGCTAAGTATGAGAAGAAGAATGAGTATTTAATATTGCATGTACTGACAGCAGCGAGAATAGTATTTGCCCAGTACTGGAAAAATGAAAATTTACCAACTGAAGATATTTTAATTAAGAAAATATTAGAATGTGCAGAAATGGATAGATTAACCTTAGAGATCAAAGAGAAAAAAGATTCAGTTTATTTTAGAACATGGGATAATTTTTACCAATGGTTAGGAAAACGAACTAGTGAGAAATGAATGTGATATATTATTTTGAATATATATTAGTAAGAAGAATGATGTGTATTGACCAACTGATACTGTTCATGATTATCGTTTATCATATTTACTACAGCTATTTACTATTATATTAATCAGTGTTAATTGAACATATATACCCGGACAACAATCTGCTAAAGCTTGAAAATGTTATTGGGGGGGTAACCCCAATGTTGTTTCCAATCCTGTCCTAACCCTAATCCCGATCCTAACCCTACCCCGAACCTTAATCCCTATCCCGGTCCTAGCCCTTCCCTAACCCTATAAAACTCAATAAAAAATTTTATATAAAAAAAGAAGGGACCTTGGAGGTCTTCTAGTCCAACCCCCAGCTCAAGCAAGAGACCCTATACCCATGGTGGCGAACCTATGGCACGCGTGCCACAGGTGGCACGCAGAGCCCTCTCTGTGGGCACGCGCACTGTCGCTCCAGTCCTAGGCCTTCAGTTGGGTTTTATAAAACCTTTTCGCTTTTGGCCTCTGCCGCTGTGTGCAAAAAAAAAAAAAAGGTTCAATCAATCAATCAATTTCAACTCGCGGGAAAAAAAAGATCTCGCAAAGTTGGAATTGATTGAACTTTTTAGTCCCACCCAGTCTGCCGTTACCACCGCAGCCACGCCCACCCAATGGGCCATGCCCATCCAATGGGCCACACCCACCCAATGGACCACACCCACCCAATGGGCCACGCCCACCCAGCACCCGACAATACATAAGTGGGTTTTGGGTTGCAGTTTTTGGGCACTCAGTCTCTAAAAGGTTTGCCATCACTGCCCTGTACCATTGCAGACAAGTGGTTGTCCAATCTCTTCTTAAAAACCTCCAGTTTTGGAGCATCCATAGCTTCTGGAGGCAAGCCTTTCCACCGATTAATTGTTCTATCAAGAAGTTTCTCCTTACCATGTTTCCCCCCAAATAAGACCTATCCCGAAAAGAAACTCTAGCTTGACTTTTAGACGTGTGCCTAATATAAGCCGTACCATCAAAATAAGCCCTAGTTAAGAGCCTGTGCAGCTGGCTGCCCACCCATTCCGTCTGGTTGTTCAAGGTGCTACCACCACAAGGTGAGGTGAGGCAGGGGTGGGAGAGGGTGGAGCTGCCCCAGGCACCCTGCATCTGCTTTCCTCAGGGCCCCTGCAGCCAGGCCTCCCATGCCCCAACACCTGCCTCGCCTCGCGGCAGACACACCAACAGCCCTGTCCAGCAGGAGCTCCTGTGGCTGCTGCCGGCCCACTTCTTCTGCGGCCACTCGCCGCCACTCGAGCATGTCGGCACCCATCCTCCATTTCGCCAGCAGAGGCCTTCAGGAAAGGCCTCTGCAACCGAGAACAGAGTCCCGGGTTGACACATGCGTTGCCCCCCGGGCTCCGTTTCACTGGCAAAGGCTTCTACAGTCGAGAGCAGAGGCCGGGGTCAACATACATGACAGTGGAAAAACATAAGACACCCCTCCCCCAAAAATAAGACCTAACTCCTCTTTTGGAGGCAAAAAAAAATAAAAATAAGACTGGGTTTTATTTTCAAGGAAACATGGTAGTTCTAGAGGAGGCCCACCCCAAAACTTGTAGTCCATGGTTTGTTTCTGCTTTTTAGAACACTTAGGGTGTGTTTGGAAATATGAAATAGCCAGGTAAGGCCTTGTAGCTGTTTGACACCTTAACATTTTTCACTTCCAAGGGAAAAAAGATGGCCTTGTTGAAAACTGATATGATCTAGGAGGGCACCAAGAGGCCATATACCACACTCTCAATTTGCTTGGTATATTACAAAGCTATTTTGAAAAACAATGAAATAGCTTATTTAGTAGCAAAGGAACTAAAGTATAAAAAAGATAGAAAAAGTAATTCCTGGCATCATTTCTCTTGCTGTCTCTTTTTTCCCCCCTTTCATTTTATACTGTTCCTCTCAGAGGAAAATAAGACTGTGATGTTAAGAGCCTATCCAACATTCATTCATTCATTCATAGTTGATCTCCTGTTTTTTGCCATTCCCACCAAGAAGAACCCCCCTGTCCATAGGATAAGAGAAGCCAGCAGGCAAATGCTATGCTCAAATCTTTTCTGCCCTAGACAATAGCAATAGCACTTAGACTAATATACCGCTTCATAGTGCTTTACAGGCCTAAGCGGTTTACAGAGTCAGCATATTACCCCCCACAATCTGACCTTGGAAGGATGGGAAGCTGAGTTCACCTTGAGCCGGTCAGGATCGAACTCCTGGCTGTGTGCAGAGTTAGCCTGCAATACTGCACTGTAACCCACTGCACCACCATGAGAAGCTTCCACGTCTGTGCAGACATTACCTGACAGTTTAATTCTTGTGAAGGCTGAATCAGAATGAACTGGCAGGTAAGAGATACAACAAACCTGGACTCAGCAATAGAATTCATCAGCGAGCTCTAGGACAGGTAAGGCGGCATCTTTCATGTGCTTTAGACTCCCTGTCCCACAGTCACTGGCTATCCTTCATTTTGGCTGGGAATAAGAGAGAAAAAGTACAAACTATTTCAAACCTTAAATCATTTTTTCAAAGGCTACACCTGGGATGCCAGACTTGCAGATATCCCTACCTGTTTTCTCCTAATCTTCTAAAAAAAAAAGGCTACTGCTCTAGGCAACTGTCAATGTTCTGCAGCAATGTTTTTCAACCGTGGCAACCTTTAACCTCAACTTGGGTAGAGAATTCTGGCAGTTGAAGTCCATGCATGCTAAAGTTGCCAGTGTTGAAACACATTCTACTATGGCTTTCCCAAAGATACTGCCTTAGAGTTAGAATTAACTCTTTCGCTGATAATTACTGTAGTAACTTTGAATGAATATTGTCCTAGGACAGTGATGGCGAACCTTTTAGAGACCGAGTGCCCAAACCACAACCCAAAACCCACTTATTTATCGCAAAGTGCCAGGGCTGCATCAGCATTGTGGTGGCCTCGGGAGGGCATGGGGGCGTGGCCCACTGGGTGGGCATGGCTGCGGTTGTCACGGCAGACGGGGGGCGTGGCTGGGGTAGGCATCGTCTCCTCGATGTTGCTCATGGGGGGGACGCCTGTGGGGGCCGGCAGCCTAATCAACCTGCACAAGTTGCTGGCAGCGGCGGCGTGTGTGCCCACAGAGAGGGCTCTGAGTGCCACCTCTGGCACGCGTGCCATAGGTTCGCCACCACTGTCCTAGGAAATCTCTTAAAATGAGTAAGATTTGATGTCCTATTGCATTTCTTCATCTGGTCTGATCTCTCTGGGAAGAGAAGCCATTTCCTGGCTTCCCAACTAAATGTTCTTCATGTGCAAATAAGATGAAATCTATCAGAAGGGGTTTCCCCTCCACAAATTCCTAAGTGTTAAATTCCATTTTCTCTCTTTCTTGCAGCTTTGAACGGCTGCTCCTTCATGCCCTCTGCCAGTACATGGACCTCGTCTCTGCCAGTGAGAAACTAAATTATAATATACATATGTATTTTTATGTTTTTAAGCTTATTTGTTTTTGGTTTACTGCTATCTCTCCCAACCAGTAAGGGCTAGGCCACAAGGAGCTGCCTCCCAGTTTACAATCTATCCTTCCAGGCAGATGGTTAATCAGGCCATTTTTGAATACCCATTTAAAGGGACAGTGCGAAAGTTTAGTAAGAAGATTCTCAAATTCTTGGTTAAAATTGTAGCAAAAACACAATGGTCCCAATATAGGTTCTAGATAGCCTGACTTAGTGTCAAACCTTATTTCCAGTACCAGAATTCTGATATATAATAATAATAAAGTGCTCACCAGGCAGCAAGGAGAAACACTTCTCTATCAAGGCTTGGGTGTATCTTTGCTGCAATTTATATTGCAGCAAATTCTATTATCTCTGCTGTATTATCTCTGCTGTATAAATTATTTCCATTTTCCCTAAATAAATATAGCTAAAGTCTCCATAAATATAAGGAGCAGAATTTCAAAGTCAGTAAAATAAGGCGCACCTTCATGGAAGGATTAAAGTCTAGCTCTACCACCTCTCATAGATTGGAGCTACCATCGTGGAAGCAGTTTGACTTTCTTTTAAGATATTTTCTATTTGGTTTTGAAAATGTACATGTTGTTCTATTGTTTTATAATTCCTGGGACAGTTTCTGTCAAAGATGCTGGTAGGAAGCAGAGATAAATGTTCCCTTTTTGCAGCTACAGAAGATGTAGATATTTAATGGGGTGTGTGATCAATGGGGGATCCACTGAGGAAGGCTATAAAAAGCGTACATGTGGTATTGCAAACTATTGTGGATATTTTGGACCAGATCTGCCTCAACGGATGCTAGCAGAGAGTGGTAACATTCAAAAGTAGGGATCTTCCAGCAACAGGCCAGATTCAGCTTACATTTGTCTCCTTAAAGTTGTGTCCATCTTGACATGCTGGACTGCTTATTGGGTGTAGTTACCAGGGCATGTAGACACTAATGCCAAAAAGAGAGGATCAGTTTTACACCCAGTTTAAGAGTTTTATGAATTTTTGCTATGTTGTCCTACTCGACCATATTCCATATCCTGCAATATTAAAAAAGAAAGGTAACACAGGGTTAACTTTTTCTGATCACTTGCAGATTTTCTGCAGGCAGAGCATATGGACTATTATGTTGCCACCCTATGGCCAGTACACTGCAGATAATATTTTAATTTAAGTCTTCCCCCACCCTTTAGGCACTGTTAATTGGTTTTTTTTCTTCCCCACCCCATGTATGGATGAGAAAGATAGCTTTCTCACACAACCCAGTCTGCAGTGGCTGCAATTTCAACTGAGCCATTGTAGATTTTGTGTTTTTTTCTCCATAGTTTTTTTTTTTAAAAAAAAGAACAATTATTCAGCCTTTGGAAAGGAAGGTAGAGGTCTGCCAGAAACTGCTATTCTAATCTGGGCAAATGGTTATTGAATTGTCTGCTGTGGCTCCACCAGGTAAGTAATTAGCCTGGATAGTAGCAGACCTGGTCACTTTTAGCATGCAAAGAGGCCTCTGAGAGTGGAGAAAGGACTTGGCTCTCTAAGGATCATCATGATGTCTATGGGGGTCTCAGAATTTGCAAGATGACAGGCAAAGCAACCTGGTCGAAGCCCTGCCCCTTTTGTACACACACATACAAAAGAGGTGGGGCTTGTCTTGCAGGGCCACACCCACCACCTTGCAAATTTGGATCCCCCATGTGCCTTCACCTCCCCCATGTACCTTTATCCTTAGGAAAGTAGTTGGTTAATTCTTGTAGCATCTTCTTCCCATGGCACTTTTGCCAGACTAAACGAAGTTTATGTTGTGGAATGTAGCCTGGATTCCCTGGATGGAGGGACTGCATTCCAGAGGAGCAAGAGGCAGTAAAGTTTAGATAGTTTGGTTGAGAGGCAGAGGCTGAAAACAGCTCCTCCCTAGAAGTTCTCAGAGTGTATCTTTATTGGTGATAGTAGTTTGCTTTAGTTTGGCAATAATTCTGTCTGTAGGCGAGGAGCAATAAAGAAACCTGCTTTGGAGTAACTTAGCGTATCTTTCTTGGTTTTGAAGCCTGACAGTTTCTCAATCATGGCTTCATTAAGATGTGTGAATTTCAGCTCCCAGTATTCTTCAGCCAGCATCCTGGCTGGGGAATTCTGGGAGTTGAAGTCCAATATCTTAACCTGGCCAAGATTGAGAAACATTGATACAGGAATTGGACAGTAAGATATGGAGTGTGTACACCATATAATAAATAAGTACATAATCTGTTCAGTGGGCTCTGCATTTTTTAAAATTGGCACATAAATGGAGATGCCCTGTCTATCTAAGGGGGATCTACTGTATATATGGGGCAGTGGAGTAGCTCTGCAGCCCCCAGCTTGGTGGCATCCTTCTCTAAATGAATACATTCTTTGCCCAACTAGAAAACAGGGACAGGGGACTCCTATAGCCATGTGTTGGCTTTTAACATGTGGCTTTCTTTTGAACATCTCTGCCCTCAGGTACAAACTACGAAGGCAAACGCCAAATGAAGGTTAGCAACAAACACACTGTCTTTTTGCCTCCTGAGCTGCTGTTGTCCACCTACCTGGAGCAAATGAGCTGATATCCAGCAGAAAATGATGTCCCTGTCTCACTCCCCGGGCCTACTTTGGAGATGTCTGCTTCCATTGCTTTGCAGTATTCAACATCAATTACGTTACATGGGGCTAGGTTCTCCCACCTTCAGCTATGCCAATCTGGCAGACTGATATCCTGTTGTGGAATTGGGACTTTGATGCCATCCACAGGTTGTGTATGGTTGCCTAGCAAGAGTCCATCTTTCCTCTTTGCTGCTTGAACACCTGGAAGGCCGCAAAGGTCCTGGATGGGAGTGGAGGCAGTTGCCTTAAACCCAGATAGGGAGACTAAAGTCAGGCTTGTGGGATCTGTGACCTCCAGACATTATAAAACTACAAATCCCAGCATGCCTTGCTTTTGTCATCCAGGTTGGGCCTTCTGACTGAGCAACTGAGGGAGGCCAAAGGAGGGAAGAGCCCCTACCCCCATAACAAATCATACTTCAAATATTTTGCTTTGCTTAGGTTAAACTTTTTTACCCAGGTACTATCCAAATATGCTGCAGTCCAGTTCCATTATCCCCAATCATCACCAGCAATTATCTTGTTGGTTGGGGTGATGGAGGCTAGAGTCCACCATGAGCGTTTTGTGAATAGAGAACCAGTGTATACATTGAAATAATTTTTAACAGCAGCACAACGGGGTTGGGTGGGTTATTATAATCAATTTCTCATGTAGTCCAAACGTTGCTTAGAAGCACTCAGTTTTTCCATGGGGGATTAATATAAATTCAAAAGTTTGGACCTCAGTTCTAATTCCTTTTTCATTTTCACCTTTAAAAACTCCAGAAAATTGTTAGGTCTTCATTCTAAAAGACTCAGCAGCCTGCAACCTTAATGAATGAATGAATGACATTTCTCTGCAACAAGTTTAAAACTTCTCAGCATCTGAGACTGATGAAGGAGATAGGTAAAGTTTTCTGTCTCTGCAAGGTTAAAACCTGGTTTCCCAGCTCAGACTGGAAACAAGCAAATAGTCACGTTGCCCAGCCTTCTTCAACCTGGTGCCCTTGTTAACAGTATGTTGGGACTGCAGCTTGCCAGATTTATCAGAGAACTGAGGAGAATGTTAACTTCATTGCATTTGGAAGAAATACCCTGTTAGAAAAAGGCCTCTCTAAGTCAGGGCTTTTCAACCTTTTCACCCACTGTACCACTTTTAGGATATGGCAATATCCGAGTACCACCAGTCGCCTAGCAAGGTGTCAAAAACTTGATGACCCCCCCAAAAAAAGAAAAAAAGGGATAAAGTGATGAAGTACAGGTAGTCCTCAACTTACAATAGTTCGCTTAGTGACTATTCGAAGTGACAATGGCACTTGAAAAAAATGCCCCCCAAGCCACAGCCGAGCAAGACACCTACCTGCCCACCCGGCGGCGCTCTTCCTCCTGTCCGAGGTTTCCATTGTTGTGAGCATTTCTGTTGAGGATTAGCAGCGGAGGTGGGGTGCGGGGTGTTTGGTTTTTATTCCCCCCATCTGCTGGGTGGTTGCAGCAGGTTTTGGTCACTTCACATGACCCTGGGACACTGTGACCGTCATAAATATGAATCAGTTGCCAAGCATCTGAATATAAATCAAAGACCCTGGAGATGCTGCAACATTCCAGCTGATCGGCGCTTCTTCTGGGCTCAGCGGAAGCGCCAGGATCAGTGTTGCTTTCCAGCTGATTGGTGCTTCTTCTGGGCTCAGCAGAAGTGCCAGGATCAGCGCCGAGCTCCAGCTGGAGCCTGGCGCTGATCCTGGCGCTTCCGCTGAGCTCTGACAGCCCTGCAGCTCCAGCCGTCTCTCGCTCAGGCCTATGCTGTGTTGTCACCGGTTCAGCTCATTCCCCTCCCCCGCTACCACTTTTCTAGGATGGTCGCGTACCATCTGCCAGGTGCCAATGTACCACAGGTGGTACCCATACCACTGGTTGAAAAGCCTTGCTCTAAGTCTTTGATTTTTCTAGGCCTATTGAACTGTTCCTTAGATGGTGTCCTGATTTAGGCAGGAAGGAATTATAAAGAATGAACAATTTTTAATGAGGCTGCCTTTAAAATAGATTTGGATGACAGTGGTCATCTAAGCAGCTTTCCTTTGCGCTAATGGGAATGGTTTATATAAAACTGAACTACCTGAGGTTGGGACCTTTATTTCCCTTCACATTTTGTTCAGTTTCAAATGCCTGTTGATTTTAAATTCAATTCTCAGCATGCTTAGTCACAAGGCAGCCCCATTCCTATCTCTAGGGCTTGTTGCCAAATAGGCTGATATAGAATACTATATCCAGCCCGTTTTTAAAAAGGTCTTACTTGAATCATTGGGTATTTTTAAACAGCTAATTAGCACTATAAAATGCCAGGCTGATTTTTTTCTAAAATAAAATTAAAAAAAGGATAATTTGTGGGTTTGCAAACTCTCTGGATCAGTTGAGCATCTTGCTTGTGATATTTTATCTTTCCACCTCATAATGCAGATGGCTCAAATTACAGTAGGTTTATACTAGCCATGTTCTTTTGGATTTATGAAGCAGGTGACACTCCCTTCACCCAGCTGAGCACCATAATCGCCTCTGCAAGATCAGAGGCTTTCATCAAATTGGCAAAATGGGCATTGCAGTACAGGTAGTCCCCGAGTTACAGCCATAACGGAGCCTACCCATTACAGGTAATCCTTGACTTACAACCATTCATTGCGTGACCCTTCCAAATTACCACAGCCCTGAAAAAAGTAAGTTTTTTTAATCACCATTTTTCACAGCACCATTGCAGCATCCTCCTGGTCAGGTGACTTGGTAGCGGGCACGTATTTATGACAGTTGCAGTGTCCCTTGAGAAGATTGCTTCTGACGGGCAAAGTCAATGGGGAAGCCAGATTTATTTAACAACCGTTAACAGCTGCAGTGACTGACTTAACTGGCAAGAAAGGCTGGAAAATGGGGCAAAACTCACTTAACAACTTGCTCTGTTTAGCAACGGAAATTTTAGTCATAAGTCGAGGACTACTGGTATAGTCATAATTTTATATTTTTTTGCAGTGGTCGTTAAATGAACATGGGGTTGTAAAACCAATGCCATGTCATTAAGCGAACGTCACAGCAGTGAAGCAAACCAATGGCTTGCTATGGGCCTGTTTGGCTGAAACAAGAAGTATCTGTTGGTTTTAAGCAAAACCACTGTAAAGGTCATGTGACTGCAGGATACTACAAATGGCCATAGATGCAGCCATGTTGCTGAGTGTTGAAGGTGTGGTCACATCATTATGTGGGGGGGGGGCTGCCATAGGAACTTTGCACCTGTGTCGTAAGTTCCCTTTTTTTCAAGTAGATGGTAACTTCAAACGGTCACTAAACAACCAATCATAAGTCGAGGACTATCTGTATTGCAAGGCAAGCTCCACCCTTTGTGTACGATGTCACAGTGCCTATATAAAAGGGGTGGGGCTTGCATTGTGACAGTGCAATGCTTCTCTTGTCATTTGGTCCTTTATCGCTCAGCCACTTCCCCCAGATCCTTCTGATAATTGATAGCCTTTTTTGTTTTACTTGCAAAATACCCTAAGAATGTTGGTTTTGAAAAAAGAAGACATGGAGGCTGCAAAAAGGGAGAGCAACTGTCTGGCAAGAAAATGCAGAGTTCCTCTCCTGTTACTCTTTTCTGAGGAACTCTGCACCATTTGCCCTTTGCAGCTGTTGCCAGCCTCTTAATATTATGTATGCTATAGATAGATCAGTGGGCTTTAAAAATAAGCACAGTATGCTGTTGATGTTACTTAGCTCCATCGAGGAGGGGCAGGAGAGCAGCTTTGATCTGGCTTAATTAAGACTGGCTCCATTAAGTGTGACTCCATTAAGCAGCACTTCCACACAGATGTTAAGTCATGTGTTTTCAGAATAGCAGCCCATTTCCTCTGGCCCAGGCCTCCAATTTTTGGAGCAAATTGCAGCTAATAGGAGAGGGTTATTTTATTTCTACAGCTATGGAAACTCAAATTCATTTTTGAGAATGGTCTCTGAATTCTTACATCATGCTAAATTATAATTAAGAGAACAAAACAACTGCTGGATTTACCCATAACAACACACTGTCAGCCGTGGTTCAAAAAACCCAGTGGCTGAGTTCATACAGTCTACTAAACCTTAACCCAGGGGTGTCAAACTCTCAAGTCACGTGACGTGTTGCGACATAGCGTGACTTTTTTTGCCATTGCCGGCAGTGGGGCGGGCACGGTTTCGCTATGATGCATCTGGCCCGCGGGCCGGCAGTTTGACACCCCTGCCTTAACTCATGAATACGATTTAGTGTGATGTGTGAATCCTGTTGTTGTATTGTGATTGGATGCTGCTTTTGGTCATTCTGGGCAAAAAAAAGTGGTGCAAGTTGGGTGTGTATACTTGAATGCTTGCTTTGATTGCTCCAGGCATTCAGTTTTTGGAATTACATCTCTCCCAGCTGTAATAGAGGCACCCCTGGCAAATCTTTTTAATGTTGGCAGAACCCAGACTAAATAAGGTTATTTTCTAAAAGTCAGTTTCAAAATCCTGCTTCAAACCACCATCCCCAATCTGGCCACTCTAGTGTGCAAAATGTAACAGTGTATTTTTTATATATATATACATATCTATGTATATTAATGTGTATATATTTATTTCAGTTCTTCAGATTGCTGGGAATTAAGTAACAGAGATGGAAATCAGTCATTGATATAAAGGATCTGAAACTGCTCATACAAGGTTACTGGTGTTTTTATCAGGATTATAATTTAGGTTTGAAATTAATAATCTGATGCCATAAAATGTGCCTCAGGATGACTGGTTGTTTAATATCCTTTAGTTTTGCAAACCACGTGCAAGCTACCAGGCTACAGAAAAACAAGAAAATCCTGGTAACCATCAGTTGGTCAAGCGAGGCCTGGAAAGAAGGGGAATTTTTGTAGCTCAGGGTTGAAATGAGAGGTCCTTGGTGCTCTCTGTAAGGAAGCAAGTATTTAAAGGGAAAAAAATGTTCTTCTAAATAACATTTGGTAGGTTTTCTGCTTACCTCTGAGCATCCTATTTTCTAATTTCACCAAGTTCATCCCCCAAATGTTCAATTTGAAGACTTCTGAAGCTGATTCTTCCATAGTCTACCTCAGGGGTCTTCAAACTTGGCCCTTTTATGACTTGTGGACTTCAACTCCCAGAATTCCTCAGCCAGGCATTCCTGGCTGAGGAATTCTGGGAGTTGAAGTCCACAAGTCAAAAAAGGGCCAAATTTGGAGACCCCTGGTCTACCTTGACATGGGAAAATCCCTATTTCATTCTCAGTATTCTGATAATTGATACTGTTTTCCCTTTGGAGTGAAGGATTTTGTCCCCTCCACCCTACTCCATTTAATGCCACTTGGAGTCCCCTCAAATAAAGGAAAATCACCCATGCAGTAATTTTTTGCCATGTTGTTGGTCGCTTGCCTTGGCAGCAACTAATACAGGGGTTCAACAGGGCAGGGATTCAGTGATACAGGTAGTCCTTGGCTTACGACTTTCATTGAATGAATGTTCAGTGTTATGAAGGTGCTGAAAAAAAGTGACAAAAAAGCTCCTTACACTTATAAGTCCCCACGGTCATGTGATCATGATTTGGGCACTTGGCAACCAGCATGTATTTACAACAGTTGGCAGCATCCCAGGGTCATGTGATGGCCATTTGCAACCTTCCCAGCCAACTTTGAACACACAAAGCTAGTGGGGTAAGCCAGTTTTACTTAACAATCACATGATTTGCTTAACAACCATGGTAAAATTGGTCACGGCTTTCTTAATGACCTCATCACTTAATAACAGAACATCTGTCCTAACTGGGGAGGTCATAAGTCAAGGACCATTGCATCCATTCTAAATTGGAGAATTCCCAAAATCCCTGCAGAATTGCTTGCTATTTAAAAAAAATAAGACTGCCTTTTAAACCTCTAGTGAATGATTTAACTGGTGAATCTCCTGTCAATCAAAGATAAATCAGAATACTTTTCTTTTGAGGAAGACTTCCGTCCTAGTTCTGGGGTATAAGTCTAGTTCAGTGATGGCGAACCTTTTAGAGACCGAGTGCCCAAACTGCAACCCAAAACCCACTTATATATCGTTGGGTGCCGGGTGGGCGTGGCCCATTGGGTGG